TGTCAAGATGGTGTTGGGGTACTCTCTCTCTCTCTCTCTGTCTCTCAGAATGAAAGAAAAAAGTCTAAATCAACAGGGCCAGCTCATGGCCTAGGAGCCAAAGGAGCTAGATCCTACGTGGATGACTGAGGTTCAAATCCCAGCCCAGCAGCTTGCAGCACATGCCAGGCCCGCATGCATGTATATCCCAAACCCCAAAAAGATGAAGAAATGGAGGAGAAGAGATGGGGGGGGTGCTCTCTGGCACACACACACACAAAAGCTACGCCTCAGGAACTGAGCAACTGGAGCGTGTATTGGCAACCCCATGTTCCAAGCAGAGGCACACTGCCAGAAAACCCGCCCTGACCTCTGGCTTCATCTGTGTGAAATCGGCCCCTCCCTGAGAAGGAAAGGGAGGCCCCAGTCTGAAAAGATTGAAAAGCTCCTGCAGAAGAGGCAGCAGAGCAAGGTGGACATGGCCAAACCAGGGGAGCAGCAGACGGGAGCCAGGATGGAGGGCAAGCTGTGTGTGGGAGAAGACTATGAGAAGGAATTTGACCCCAGTGTCTACGTGAGGACCTACTACCCCTTCGACGCGGGCAATACTGCTGAGAATGAAATTCTGAAGTTCAGCCTGGAAAACCTCTTCCACACCTTCTCTGCAGGTGAACGGCGGGCTAGCACAGGGCTACTCCTGGCAGGAAGGCTGCCGGCACCCAGGGTGGCGACAGGCCCCATCCTCTGAGCCACTGCTCTCCCAGGGCCTTGTCACCAGCCTGCCAACCCTTGAGGCCCTCTGCTGCGGACAGCTTGGGCAGGGTCAGAACACTGATTTGGAGGCCAAAGAGCTGGCCCTGAGGCGCTAGCAGCTGGCCTTAGTTTCTTCACCTAAAAAATGAGGAGGGCCACCCCAGACCTGTGGGGCACACAGGCTCCCACGGAGGGGAACTGGGAGGGCATGAGCACACGGCTGCTCTGACCATTAAAGCAAGGCTTTGAGGTTTTTCTGGGCTCTTGAATCCCTCTGAAAATCTGAAGTAAATTCTTCTTTTTCTCCAGAGGTTTTTGCTATAGGGCGTGAGTGCTCACCAGAGAGACAGAGAGACAGAAAGCAAGAAATCACCCCCCAGAGGGGATGGCCACACCGCAATCCCTTCTCCTCTATTCTCCTCTCAGGATCTTGGGCACGCATGTACATGCACCCAGCGTGAGTTTAAGCCATGGGGTCCAGGACTCGAACCATGGTCGACTACATGGGAGTCCAGTGACATAGCCATTACGCTAACTGCTGGTCCCTCTGATGTAAATTCTTACATACAGACCAGTAAGTGGCAGATGGTTAAGGTGCACATAGCTGACAGTACAGTTCAAGGCCCATACTAGACAGCTTGAAAAACATGGGGGGATGGGACCAGCAGTTAGCATAATGGCTATGTCACTGGACTCCCACGTATTCAACCGCAGTTCAAGTCCCGGACCTGGTGGCTTAAACTCACGCCGGGCGCATGTGCATGCATGCCCAAGATCCCGACAGGAGAATGGAGGAGAAGGGATTGCGGCATGACCATCCCCCCTGGGGGGTGATTTCTCGCTTTCTGTCTCTCTGTCTCTCTCTGTCTGGCTGGCTAACGCACATGCCCTATAGCAAAAAACCTCTCCCCCCCCAAAAAAAAAGGAAAGAAAAAGAAAAAAATGGGGGCACCTGTGAGCACGGCTGAAATCCTGAGAAGAGAATAGAGGAGAGGGGTGTCCTTTCTCACTTTCCCCCTCTCTCTGTCTCTCCAGTAAGTGTACACATCCTAAGGCAAAAAAAATTTTCTTGTGTAGACACGCACACTCGATCATCATTCTTGTACACAAAATTCAAAGGGTTCATGGCCAAACCCAAACCACAGCGCTCGGTTTTCTAATCCCTGCTCTAGGGCATCAGGCCTGGTTGACTGAGGAGAAATTACTGTCCAAGTTCCTCAGGAGGAGGAGGTGGGGAGGTGGGGGACATGCCGTGGGTGGAGTGGGTGGAGAGGGGCAGCCAGCCCAGGTCAGAGAGCCAGCCAGCAGCAACAGCAAGGCGAAAGCACGGGTGGGCAGGGCGTGCACTGCACAACGCTAGGACGTTCTCAGTCACTCAGACGTGCTTGTCATCAGTGCCGAGAAAGATCAACCACGCAGCACCCACAGGAATGCATATGCAGAGGAAAGGCCACGTAATGCTCCCAGAGACACCTGAGACTTCCTGGGCACCAGGGTTGGCACCGGCCCTGACGGGACAGGTGGGTTTTCATTAAGACAGGAGGAAGCAGCGGGAATCCGAGGACAGCACACCTACCATACCTCCACCTGCCAACTGAGGGGTCCCCAATTCTGGGGCCACAGACCAGTAATGATCTGAGGCTTTAGGAACGGGGCCATGCAGCAGGAGGTGAGCAGCAGGCAAGTGAGCAAGGCTTCCTCTGGGTTTCAGCCACTCCGTGTCGCTGGCATCACCGCCCGAGCTCTGCCTCTGTCAGATCACCCGGCGTTAGGTGCTCATAGGTGCTCATAGGTGCTGTGAACTGCGCATGAGAGAGACCTAGGTGGAGTGTGCTCAGTCCTAAACCTGTCCACAGTGCAGCCCCCACCAGGTGTACTGGCAGCCTTGGGGACAGCCAGGTGGATTAGGCGCGTACACCAGGCTGTGCCCCACCCTCCAGCCTCGCTCCCCTGAGCCTAGGTGTGGGGAGTCTGCCCACCTCCCTCTCCCCCCCAGAGGCCACCCAAAGGCAGGCCCAGATCTCTGCGTCCCCCTCCTCAGAGGCAGTCCTGGGGCAGGGAGCGCCTTCTCTGTCCACACAGCCCCGCATGCCTGGCTGATGCTGTCTCCCACAGGAGGAGTCGGGGGTGACATCCTGATCGACATTGGCACCGGCCCCACCATCTACCAGCTGCTTTCGGCCTGCGAGGCCTTCCGGGAGATCATCGCCACGGACTACGCCGAGCAGAACCTGCGCGAGGTGCAGCGGTGGCTGCGCAAGGAGCCGGGCGCCCATGACTGGTCCCCAGTCGTGCAATACGTGTGTGAGCTGGAGGGAGACAGGTACCCGCGGGCTGTGCCCACGCTGCCACTGCCTGCCACCATCCCTCTCAGACAAGCCCCCCCCCAACGGAGGAGACTGAGGCTCGGGCCTGAATGGTGGCCTCGAGTCCTCCTCAGAGCCAGAACAGACTGGACTTTGAGAGTCCCACCCTCACTGAGGGCCCCAGGGGGCCCGACCCGTGACAGACAGGGGCAACCCGCAGCAGGACAGAGCTAGGGGGCTCGGAGGCAGCCCGGCCTGGGTCCCGTTCGAACTTGTTGTCATTCAAGGAGCACATGCCAAGGGCCAGGCCCTTTCCTCAGCAAATAAGGACAAAGGAGACAAGGCAAAGTCCTTCGTCCCTGGAGCTTGAGTTCTAGTGGGGGAGACCATGACCCCCAGCTAAGCAGACTCAGAGATTCAGACCAGGAAAAGGTTTTGGCAGGTGGGGGTCTCAGGAGAAGAAGGGGTGCCATGTCAGGTGTAAAGACCAGACAGGGCTCTTTGAGGAGGAGCCCGAGGTGCTGTGTGGGTGAGGTGAGGACCAGGGCTATGACAACCTGGGAAGAGCCTCAGGCTGTGGGAACCACACGTGCAAAGGCCCTGAGGCAGGAACTAACTGCACAAGTATTTAAGACTGGTAAGAAGGCCACTGTGTATGGGGCGGAGTGAAGAGCAGACGTCAGTTGTCAGGGCGGCCGAGGCCACATCTGTGGGTGCCGAGGGCCGTGGTAAGAAGTGAGGACAGTGCCATGCGTCTCATTGGCACCAGGGAAGGGAGTGGCGCGATGGGACCTGTGTTTGGTTTTAATTCCCTGCATCTGAGAGACAGGACCAGCCCTGTTACCTAGTGGTGAAAGAGGTCAGATCTCGCACCGGCAGGGCCGTCCAAATCCCAGTCCTGGCAGCTTGAAAAACACCGGGAACATGGGCATGTGCTCAAAATCCTGGCAGGACGGAGGAATGGAGGAGGGATTGCGGCACGGCCACGCCCCAGCGGGAGCGCTTTCTCCCTCTCCTCTCTGCCTTCAGGGAGCACATGGGACAAGTACAAATTGAGACAGAGACAGAGAGTCAAGCACCCCCGACAGAGTATTCACGCCACAATTCAGTCCCAGACTAAGCCAGCCCAGGCCGCGGGCACATGTGTGCACGCCCGGGATAGACACAAACCCAGGGCTTCCCGCGTGGGTCCAGGTGCTGTCCCACTCATCATTGTCCAACTCGCACTTTTTAAAGAACTATCCATCGAGTCCCGTGGAGGGTTTGTCACCTCGGAGGGCAAGGGCAGGACCAGGCAGAGCAGCAGGACGTGGAGACCCAGCTCCTGGGCAGGGCTAACAGTAGCTCCAGCAGGTGGGAGCCATGGAGGGGTCCGGAGGTGGCTGGAGCCTGGAATCGCTGTGCAGGTAGAGCCAACGGGCTTCTAGTGGTCTGTCTGGGGGAGGATTGTGAGGACTCAGAGTGACTCCAGCTTCGGGGCTGGAAGCACAGGAAAGAGAGAGTAGCCAGGTCCAGGGAGGAAATGTCGCAGGGCGGGGCAGCAAGAGGGGAGGGGAGCAGGCGTAGCTGTCTCAGCTCCGCGTTGCCACCTTGACCTCAGGGAGGATGCACCTGGCAGGACCCAGGGGAGACTCCAGCACTGGAGACCTGACTTGGGAGTGGTCAGCGGACAGCTAAGCCCACGGAGTGGCTGGTAGGGAAGAGGCGAGGAGAGGGGGAGGCTGAGAGAAAGCGAGGACCACAGTGCACCCAGGAAGCCCTGAACTTGCTGCAAGAAGCAGGGTGCGCCAGCGTGGGTGCCCCGAGGGCATTCTGCTACTGAGTAAGCCGAAGGACAGGAACCGGACAGTTCCACCTACATGAACTGTCTAGACACGAGTGCATAGTGACGGGAAGCAGCAGAGGTTAGCAGGGCCTGCAGGGGGCAGCAGTTAGTGTGGGATGAGTTTCTAGATGGAGTAGAGGAAGAGTCTTGGGAAAGAGAGTGGGGAGAGCAGCAACCATTGTACATGCAATGAATACCGCTGCATTCTGCATTTCAAAAGGGCAAATTTGGGGGCAGGCAGATGGCATAATGGCTATGTCACTGGACTCCGATGTAGTTGACCATGGTTCGAGTCCCAAACCCAACAGCTTAAAACTCATGCCAGGTGTGTGTGCATGTATACCTAAAGTCCCGGGAGGAGAATGGAGGAGAAGGGATTGTGGCGTGGCCATTCTTCTGAGGAGTGATTTCTCACTTTCTGTCTCTCTGTCTTTGTCTCTCTGATGAGTGCACGTGCCCTATAACAAATATCTCTCTGAAACACACACACACACACACACAAATGTTGTTATATATATTTTATAACTTAAAAAATTACTAATGTGGGTCAGCCATGGTGTGGTGATTAAAGCAGCTAGATCTCACATGAGCGACCCTACACTTCGAGTCCTGGACCTGGCGGCTTGAAAAACCCATCAGGCCTACGTGCAAGCATGCCCAAAATGCAGACAGGGAGAAATGGAGAGGGGATTGTGGCATGACTTTAAGATGAGTTTTCTCATCTGTATAATGGGGGCAGTGATACCTTCCTCAAAGACTTGCAGAACAGAACAGGTCATTTACAGGCTTTTCCTAGAGGGTGGCAGTGGGGGCTAGGGACTGTTGTCATTGTCATATCGCCTCTGTGCTTCCCACCCCACCTACAGAAGCAAGTGGCAGGAGAAGGAGGCGCGGCTCCGAAGGACAGTCACGCGGTTGCTGAAGTGTGACGTGACCAAGCCGCACCCGCTGGGGCCTGCCCAGGTGCCCCCGGCCGACTGCGTGCTGTCTCTGCTGGCCCTGGAGAGTGCCTGTCCCGACGTGGACGCATACCGGGCAGCCATTCGGGGCCTGGTCAGCCTGCTGAAGCCAGGCGGGCACCTGGTCACCTTGGCCGTCCTGCACTGTCAGCAGTACCTGGTGGGCCCCAAGAAGTTCTTCTGCCTTGACCTGGAGAAGGAGACGGTGGAGAAGGCCGTGCAGGAGGCTGGCTGCCAGGTGCTGACGTGCAACCACTGCACCCTCAACTACTCTGAGACCTACACCACCAACGACGGCATCTGCTTCGTGGTCGGCCGCAAGGGCCCCGCCATCTGAGGCCCATCTGGCAGAGGAGGGCCTGCCCCACAGGAGGAGTCACGATCAGCCTTTCTAGGGTCTTGCTCCACAGCCCCCCTGAGATTCCTACTACTACCTGGTCCCGAGGCCACACGGCACAGGTGAAAACCACAAGTTCCCCCTGAATCCAGCCCAGGGCCCTGTTCCCCTACCCCTCCTGGTTATCTTGCACCAAAGGTCGTGACAATAAAGTGGCTCAGTTGGACACCAACTTGGTTCCCCCCAAGGCAAGATTTGTGTGCAAATCGTTTATCTGTGGGGATGCCAGGGAGCATCGACAGGGGCGTGGGAAGGAAGGCAGCCAGTACAGGGTGCGTCACGGGGCCCTCGTGGTGGGCCCCGGAACTCCGAGTGCTGGGGTCCCTGGGGGCCAGTGCGGAGCACACGCTCAGAGCAACCCAGCAGCCCCACCATCACTTTGAGCGTTACTCCAGGGAGCATCAGCTCCCAGCCCTTCAGCCTGCCTGGGCATGGGCAGTGCCGCCCAAGACAGAACTTCCGGGGAAGACAGGCAGGTGCCAGCTGCTGGGAGACGGACCGGTGCAGGAGGGAATGAGGAGGCGACCCCCAGAGCCTCTGCCACAGAACAAACTGTCCCACTGGCTGGAGTGTGGGACTGGTTCTGGGCTGCCTGGTCCTACCCTAGGAATGGAGGGATGGGATGTCATAGCTGACGGTGTTTTTGTGTCTCCAGTCAAGCCTGGCCTTCCTGAGGCCCACTGCTCTCTAGACTGCCATGGGTTGGTCTTGCAAAGTAGATGCAGCCATGTCTCCACCCTACTTGAA